TCTCAAAATTTGTAAAAAAATTTTGTTGTTGTTTTTTGTTAATCCTCATCCAAGGATATTTTTCCATTGATTTTTAGAGAGAGTGGAAAGGAAGGGGAGAGAAAGAGAGAAACATCGTTGTGAGAGAGACACATCAATTGGTTGCCTTCACATGAGCCCCTGACCAGAGCCGGGAATCAAGCTCTTGACCTGAATCAAACCTGGGACCCTTTTGTCCCCAGGCTGATGCTCAATCCATTGAGCCAAACCAGCCAGGGCATAATTTGTAGTTGTTTTTAAAAAATATTTTTATGAGCCTACACATTAGTCATGCAGTGGCTCTCTCTTTTAAGATGGCTAAAAACAGTGTCTATGAATTTTACTGTGAGGTATTTGGGAAAGTGTTAAAATACTGTTGGTAGTTGATATTACTGTCTAGTATTCTTTCTTCTCTTGGCTAATAACAGAATCCCACTTTTTCCTTTTATGAATTTCCCTTCCACCATCTAGTAGGGCTGTTTGTCACATGACCTCAACTCCAGCATTGGAGTAGGGATGACTGTCTACTTAAGGATTAATGCAGCTGGTGTCCTTAAGTTGAAGCAAATGGTCATTTACCATTTTGAAAAACTAGAATTTTAAGTATTATGCCAAATCTACTCTGGAAAAACAAAGCTGGGATGATAACATGATTTGCTGAATGTTTTGAGCCCACTGTTGACATCTACTGTTCAGAAAAACAATAAATTTTTTTCGAAATATGACAATGTACCCAGTCACTCAAGAACTCTTGGAGTGTACAATGATGGAGATGTACAATGAAATTAATGTTTTCAGGCCTGCTAACACAACATCCATTCTTCAGCTTATGGGTCCAGGAGTAATTTTGACTTTCAAGTCTTATTATTTAAGAAACCAGTGGCCCGGCACACGAAATTTGTGCACAGGGGAGGGTGTGTTCCTCAGCCTGGCCTGCACCCTCTCCAATTTGGGACCCCTCAAAGGATGTCCTACTGCTTGTTTACAGGGATCGGGCCTAAACCAGCAGTCGGACATCCCTCTCGCAATCCGGGACTGCTGGCTTTTAACCACTCACCTGCCTCCCTGCCTGCCTCACTGCCTGATTGCCTCTAACCAGTCTGCCTGCCGGCCTCCTCACCCCCCACTGCCACCCCCACCCCCC